TTTACGACAGTGCACTTTTAATTTCGCCCTCTGGGGGGAGCCTCACTGGAAAATCAACACCGGTTGCATAGTGTACCTTTAAGTTACTGTTTTATAAAGTGTATTTACCTGAGAATTCCCGTGAAACTTGTAGTTGCACAGATGTTTTTATTCATAAATCAAAATAGTCTACATTTAAATATGACTTTGCTGTCAAGCAAGAAGGAACTCTTGCTTGTTGAATTACAGCCAAGGCCTGAAATTATAATTAAATTGAATAAAGGAAATTTCCAAAAGTACTTTAAAATCCATATAATCTCTTTATTATCTTTAACAAATAGCGTCTGTGAAATAGCGTTCATGTTTGACTTACCTGGAACAAACTCCCACAAGGCTGCAAAAGGTCTGAAACCCTATGTTGCTTTAAATCTGTTTTAAAATCCTTTTTTTTTAAACAGATGTCTTTAGCTCTTCACAACCACTAATGAGCATTTTTCCTTTGGATAAACTTTACATGCACAAGTGCACTCTAACAAACAACTACAGGTGCTTGGTTTCAGGTATTTAGAGATTCACTTCCATACAAAAAGCCCATATTCTTATATTCAGCTACCACAGCATACATGTCAGATTAAATACTACTTAGACTTCAGCGATAGTATCAAGGTGTTACTTTATTGTATCTCTTATACTATATCCATTGGTTGTGCTGTTCTTTTTACATCTCTCTTTGCAGGTGATGAAGCACACTTAAGACGCTTTATCATTGTCTGCCTTTTATTTCCTTTCTTTCATCTTTTGTCCTTTTTCCTGTTTTTCCTTTCCTGTTCCACTTTCCAGTTTCAGTGTCCATATAATCTGTAAATTCCCTGCATGAATTATAATAAAGCTATTTATATGCATTAATCAAGCGGAACACTACGGCAATAGCCATACTGCTCCACTTGTGAAAGCAATTAATCTGGGTTATAATAGTACAGTAATACATTTCATAAAACTACTGGCCATTTGGTTTTTCCCCCATTATACCAGCCCAGAAAACCTCTCCCACCTAAATTCAAGCATCTGACAATAAATCACAGATATAAGCAGCTCTGCTTGGTTTATTAGCTTTAAAAGGTTTTAACTGGTACAATGACATTAGTTTAACAAACCACGGAAAGTGATCCAAAGATAGAAATTCAGGTGAGGTAAGAATTTTATCTGGAAAACCTACAATAAATAACTTTTAACTTAAATACTTTTTACATCTTTTTTCAAAACAAAACAAACAAGAAATTGCAGCATTTTCCAAGTAGATGAACACATGAATCTTATGACAATATCCTTGGTTAAGAGTTTCAGCAACATCTGTTACCACACCACTTATGAGGCCGTCACTATGCTGATAATTCAACCTCAAAAACCAAACATTCAGCAGTGCCATCTAAACGATTGAAGAAGAAGTGTTACGAACATGAAAACTTAAAGTGACTATCTCAGCCTTTAGCTGAGTTCAATATTAAAATTGAATTAGGAACTTGACATCATTGTCGTCTCCTGCAGTCTCTTCATTCACCACCTGCACGGCACTCAGAAAACTCAGTAAAAAATAACATCTGTACAAACATACGAAGGAGCTACACATATTACAGCCAACCTGCTGCACCTGTAGCTCTATACAAGAACAAGTTTCCACAGAAACAGTTGAATTAATTACAGTGCTCACTGCATTTCAGCTTATTGCTTAATGTGTTCTTTGATTTTCAGCTCAGCTCTTGAATACTTTGAGTGGCTATCACAGCTGAATACTTTTACACCATTTCTTTGTTTTTCCTCCAGTCACTTATTCTTCTAGTTTAGTAGCAGGAGCAGTGCTTGGTTGCCTGTTTCTTTTTATCTTTTTCACGCTTGCTTTCTTGGCATGCTGGAGCAGAGAGAAGAGGCAGACTGAAGAGCAAGATGATGATCAAATTCAGCACCACACAGAGCAGCGCTGGACCCACTGAGTTAGCAAACGAGACGGGGATGGAGTTAACGGTGAGCCAGGAGCGTCTCATCACCAGGTCCTGCTCCACGGCCAGCATTTGGAAGTGGGTGCCTATGATGGCGCACACATGGAAGAGCTGGTGGCTGTGACCTGTAGAGGGAGCAGCCGAGTCACATTTGAGAAATTACTTGTGACCTTCACTGCACAATAAATGATTCACCGCTGTTATGATTGCAGGTAGCTGGAAATAAATCCAGCAGTTGTGCATTAACATTTCCTCACAATGTTTAACCCAGAAGAGAGAAAACATGAGATTGTTTTACAGTGAGCATGTTCTTAATCTCCTTAATCTCATATAAAACAGGTGGTTGTAAAATCAAAGCAGCAATGACTCAATTCCCTACTGAGTTCTTCAGTATTATGAATGATTAATATTTGATTTATATATCTACTCTGAGAATTGCATCAACTCTTTTATATGCCGTTGTGAGAAATGTGTGCATACCAGGCACCTTTATCCTCCTTGCTGAGTATTGTCATCATTAAGTATTTAAAGCTATAGTGGAGGATGTTCTTTTTCCGGGTGGATCACCAAAATAAGTGGTCCTGCTAATTGTCAATCAGTCTGCTGACATCAGGCTCAGACTGGGAAAGATTTTTGGCCCCCCCCAGTCAAAAGTGTGCGTCACATTGTGGATTAACCGATCTATCTTCAAGCATCACACAACAACCATCACCAAGACTTCTATAATGCGGTTTTACTGGCTTTGGTTATTAACACGGACGCCACAGTGACTGTTGCTGCGTAACATCCACACTCACCACATCAGCAGGGGTGCCAGATGTCACTGACTAACGTTTTCCAGGCCAAAAGATGTTCATAAACCACCTGGGTATACGAAATCTCGCCCCATTTGAACCAAAGTCTATTGATCTCTTAGGCCATAAATCTAAAGAGAAAAATATTTTCTATCCATAGACGGCCATCCTAAACTGCCAGATTGGGAAACATCCCGACGTGGCCACAATGCAAATCAGACGGGAAACGTTAGCCTTTAGATGCAAGCCCATCATGCACAGCAACATATCATTGCTAAATATTCTAACATAAATTCACCTAGTATAAGAATAACATGGTCATTTGGTTTAAAGAAAGCATTAGTTTCGTTTATTATAATTTAGTTTGTTGCAAGGATTTTACATTTTGAAGAAATAGAAAATTACACCATATGCCAACCATCACAAAGATGTGCATGACAAGGAAGGGCTATATATACTGCATGCATCATTTAGGTAGTTAACATTGTATTACTTCTTGAGATGCTTGAGTTATTTACTGTCACAGGTAGGTGCTTCGGCCGAGGAATAAGTTTTGGGGCCGGTATGATTTAATTTTGCACACTGAAATTAGGACCAGTATCACAGATTACCAGTCCAAGCCTGGCTGATATGTTTACATCAGGCCGTCCTACATGCTCTTCCCCATTTTCACTTACCGGTGTTCTGTTAGATGAGCATACCTGGTCAGACCAGCATACCCATAGTCAATACCTTTTTATCCCTTTAGTTTTGTATGAAAAATATGAGAAATGGGCCCGTGCACACTCTCGCACGAGTTTAATAGGCATCCCCGGGAATAGGTAAGGGGTTGTGCTTGTGCATTTTTTTCTTAAGTGTAGAGGACGGGTCTTTTCAAAAATTGGTGAAAATCCTCCATGATACCTTTAATTACTTATTTGTAAGCTCTATTTACGTCTAAAGGCTTAGATTGTATTCACCCAATTTCCATAATTTTGTTAAAAACTTTTTTTCTTTGCCCAACCATTTTTTCATTCAAACTGTCGCTTTTTCTTTTTTTTTTTTTTTTTTTTAGTATATTTTAATATTTTTTAATATACTCTGTGTTATAAACATGAATAATATGAAAAAACACAATTTAATTTAAACCCTGCCTTAAAAAAAACATTTTACAATAAAAAAAACGTATATCTTGTTGCACAGGTGTCTGTTCAAAACATAATATGTAGTTATTCTCTAAACAATGGCGTTTTGCTTAGCTTGCACTTTTAAGTATTCTTCTCAAATGTCCTCAATCTAAGACTTTCTTTCTCTGCTTGTTTAGTGAACTATTCTGTATATTGAGTTTTAAAGTAGAGGTCAGGAGTGAATCCAAATGCACTATACAAATAAAAAAAAAAAATCATCTGTCTAATCTGTTAGAGATTTCTGCAGCAACTTGATATAAATGTGACACCAATGACTGCACTACAGAGGAATCTTACCAATGTAGTCGAAGCTGCCAGGTGCCAAACGCTCAGGGAAGCGCATGGCAAACAAAAAGCCAGTGATGAAAGCCAAGGCAATGTGTTTATAGTGGAGCATGTTGGTGTCGTTGTCAGTGCAGCCCTCCCCAGTGCACAGAAACACCTGGGAACACGACACATATGATATCAGCAAACAAACTAAAGCAAGTTGAGCATGTTTATATGTCTTCATGAGGCTTAAGCTGAAGTTTTGCTAAGATGCTAGTTATTAAATACAAACATAAATAAACTAATGCCAAATCAGTATTGAAAGAGTAGTGAAGGTTTTGTACTATTGAGCAAGAGAACACATTTAAATGTTATACTTCTCTGAATTAAAGCTATCTACTTGCAATCAGAAATCTCTTGTTCTATCAATACAGAAAGTCTGAATTGAATAATTGGCAAAGGGGCTAAGCTAAATACAAATGTGGAGGATAGCTGCTGTACCCTGTAGAAGAGAGGAATGTTGTCAAACAGGTAGGGGTATGCAAAGGCAAGGATCCGAAAGAATTTGCTGAACTTTGGACTCTCAGGTAATCTGGAAAAAAAGAATAAAAAAATCTGTTTTAAAATAGTGCACTAAAATTACCCTGATTATGAGCTGCTCATTATCACAATGATAATGAGAATTTATTGAGAGACTGGTTAAGATCAAACATGATATTCAAAGGTCACTTTTTACACCTGATGTATTCATCACTATTAACAACTTTGATTTGTACATATTTGGAACGTTTAACAGTTATAAACCAGTACAGGCTTTGATTTTCTCACAATAAACTGATTGAGTCAGGTTGTTACACAAGGTGTTTAACCGCTGCTTGTTTGTTTGACCTGCCCAGGTGAAACTGCACGGGCCAGTTTAAGGCGGGGACCTACGATCGCTGCCAACCAACACCTATTTCATTGAACAGAATCACGTGAACAGATCCAACAGATACCTGCTGGAATGCAGGCTGACAAACCAGCAGAAATTTCTAGAAGGCAGCCGCCTATTTCTTTAGGAGGATTTAAAGGGCGTAAAAACATTTTCGAAACACAACAGGTGTAAAATATCTTTACCTTTTAACAACATCATGGTTATACTGCAGGAACGGAAGACCAAGCCTAAATGACAGGGAGAGATGAGGGTAATAATGTTGATATGAAGGTCATTAACATGTGCGTCTATTGATGATAGGATTTTCCATTGGCTCAAGAACAGAGCTGAAATTTTCTAGCTCCTGATAAAAAACAATATTAGTATCATGAGTAATAAATAATTTCTTTATTGCACCTGGAGTAACAGGCCAGGATGGTGCAGACGATGGTGTTGGCCATGGCGATGGGAATGTACCACTGGTGAAAGGTGCTGTTCAACCACTTGTCGGGGAAAATGTAAAAGGAATAAACAATTGCAGACCCTGCAACAGCACAGAATCAATGCTAAGAATCAGAAATAAAAGGTCTTAAAAATGAGAGACAATAGTGTAGCTATATAGCAACCTTTGAAAATCTGAAAATAGATTAAATGCAAACACTTCTGATATTCTGAAATGTTCCTGGTTAGTCCCTTACAATATAATGTTTAATCGAGAGGTTGTTTTAGTATTAATCACAATTAAATAAATAAATAAAAAGCAGTTTATTCATCGGGATCTCTAAGATAAACCGTTATCCTTTCATTTTTAGAAAAGAATAGAATAGAAAATCCCTTTATTGTCCCAAAAGGCACAATAGATTATAGAAAAAATTAAACCATATAAAACCTTAGAAAAATTAAAAGAGTTTAAAGGAGTTAAAAGATAAAAAATAAAATACTATTTGTAGGCAATAGTAGGGAAGCACTTACCCAGGCTGTAAAGACTGAGCGCCCCATAATCAAAGAAGAAGCAGATGTGGCGTGCCCGCACTGACATGGTGCTAAAGGTGTGTGCACAGCTGGATGCCAAGGGATAGATGCAGCAGGAGAAGAGGAAGACCAGCAGAGGCCAGGTGAAGGTGTCCTGCCATCCCTGCTGCATCAGCACCACTGTCACCAGCTTCCACAGAAAGTACCTGCCACAAAAAAAACAAAAAAACAAAACATGACTTTTCTTCTTTTATGAGAGAAATCCCAACTGCAACGATAATCCACAAAAGACAAGTATTAAAAAAAATTGAGGTTTCTGCAACAATCTAAGAAAAATATTACATTAGATTCAAAGCTAGATAAAATGCTTTTGCACAAGAGTGTATTCTGGAGATATGAATGAAAATACTGTGACATCAATACAGTGTTCTTTAAAATCCTCTTACCTCTGTTAAAATATTAAGAAATAGTTCATTTTCACTTTACACGCTGTTAGAAGACTAAAAGTAGTAACCTTTTTTAACATTACCGTTTACATGGGAAAATGTTGCCTGGAAACTGACATCTAAATTGAAAGAATAAAGCACAAGGAGAAACAATAGGATGCATAAGATTTACAGATTTTATTTATCAAAATAATAAACTGCTCAGCCATTTTAACAGAACTCAAAATCCTAATTTTATTCTTTCAGATCACATTATGCTACAATTAAAAGATAGACCAAACTAAACACCTGTAAAGCAGGGAGGTGGAAGTATTATAGTTTTCTTACTGAAGATATAGTGCAGTTACTTGCTTGTACTTTAAATTGTGGCTAATAGAAATCAATTGATTATTAACTAATCTTTCTGAGACACTGATCAACCTAAAAATAAAACAAAGACACTGAAATTCTGATTAAAATAAGAACAAACACCTCAAAGGAAATGGAATAATACCTCATAAAGAACATTATCAGGATATTGTGGGAGAAAGATGCTTTCATAATAAGTTATCATGTTGAATAGTTCTGGATTAGTGACATGAATAACAGGAATTATATACAGAAGGAAAAATTAAAGGGGTGTATTAACATTTGGTGCTTGACATTTTGGTAGTTGTCTTCAAATGTGGGTGTGAGTATAGTATAAACAGACTTCTTCCTTCTAGTCCTCAGCATAGCAGCAGGTAATTACAAAGTAATGTGCTAAAATACATAATTTGTTTCATTCTGTTTGCTCAGGGATTGAAATACGACTTTTACACCAGATAAATTACAAACACTAAGGAGAGTTGGCTCCTTAGGAAGAAAACAGCCTTAAAAAATATTGCAATAAATTCACCTTTTAAACAGAAAACATTCAAACGATTAGTAGACGTTGTTCCCTCAGAGGAAAATATCTCTTTGTAAAGTAATGAATTATTATCCCTCAATTAAACTGTATTTTATCAGCCCCAGTCAGTTTTATAGCAGCAAAGAGCACCACACAAACAAGCAGGTCTGACCAGGAGGCGGGGGCGTGCTTTGTGTTCAGTGTTTCCCTGTCACCAAGTAGTTAACTAATTGTGGCAAAACGCATGGAAGCCTGAAGCGCAGACCTGCTCATTAGTGCCAAGCCTTTAGAACTACACCTCCCCCTTGACACAAACACCCATGTGTCTTCACAATATTCCAAACAGACCTACAACCTCGCACAAACATGTAGATAAACACACCCTCTCCGTTTCTTCTGGACGGTGCAGCCAAAACAACTTGCATCTCGGTTGGGAGGAAGTGAAGCGAGGCCACAGGGGGCACTAATCTCAGCAGTAACTCTAAAATACTCACGCTAACACACAGAGACAAGGTGAACGCAACTGAACATCTGGAAAATATCCATGTATTATGTTGAACAAAGCAGGGGACAGAAACCAAGGAGAAGATTTTGCTGCCTTTTTAAGCATGTTTGAATAAATTACTGAAAAATATTTAGCTCAGGAGATTCTTTCTTCTGTGGGTAAATTAACAGGATCATAAAGGGGAAATGTTGACTTTAAAACAAGACAAAACATAAAGCATAAAAACATGAATAGAAAGTTTCGATATATTGCTCTAACTAAAATATTTGACAAAAGGGCCTTCTATAACTTAATAGGACTGCTGTCCTTTTACTTGCTCGTCTTTGGACAGTAGGTGTGTTTTATAAACATTTTATCAATATAAAACCTGAACTAATCTTATATTGTCTTGTATTATTATTTAGATAGAGGACCTCTGTAAAGCTTTCTTATATTCCGTAGCTTTTTTAAATCAAGTGAGTCTGGAAAAGGTTAGTTTAAGTTCACCTTAAAAATACTGATGATGTATTGTAGTCATTATTTAAAACATCCATAAATGGATGGTTATAATGTTTTTCTGGTAGATTTATATAATGTTTAGCTTCAGCTTTTTATATGCAGTTGTGAAATTGAATGATGTACGTTTTTTTATAGATAAGATTGTCAAGGCATCATCTTTTCAATGTTACTTGCCCACTTTCCTTTTATTTTTTTTCTTTATTTTTATATATTTCTTAAAATGAAGCCCACATCATAGCCAGTTATTATTTTCAATGCAGAGTGAGGACTTTCATTTTATTATAATTTTACTCCTGATACATTAACCTGATTTGCTTTTCTTTGATTTCTAATAACAAATTAAAGCAAATTAAATCACCATAATAAAGCTGCATAAGCTTAGAGGGCTTCCCTTAATGTTAAACATTTGTGGCATGTCAGGGAAACACCGTAAAGCAAAGGGGAGACCCACATGGTTGCTGGGATAATGACCTCAAAACAAACCTGTCAGTATGTTCAGTCTGGCTCACGTTACACTGATGACAGACACATTGTTGTCCCGGGAAAACTATATGCATGGAGAAAACTAAAAGATACTTGTTGTGCAGCACGGAGATAAACAAGCACAAGAAGGTTTAAATAAAAATGAAATATAAACGAAGGTAGAAGGTGAGAACCTAAAGATTTTTCTTGTGAAAAAAGAAAAAGGTGATATCATGTAAGGCATGTCTTTGGCCTACAGGTTTTACAGGATGTGTGAGATTCCTCTCTCATGATGTAAACACATTTTGGGTGTTTCGCATTATATAATCTCTTCATCTTTTTGATACAGTTAAACAATATCCGGTCAAGCTGTCATTTTTGGTACACAGTTTCACAGAATCACTGAAGCTTAATCCTGTAATTGAGTATGAATAACTGGTCCTGTGTGTGAATAAAGCTTTGTTAAAAATTATATTTTCCAGCTTACCAGGTGGGTAAAAAGTGGGTCCAGATGTTGAGCGTCTCATTGGTCATCTGGAAGAGGCTGAGGATGCAGTCAGTAGCTGAGCTCCGAGGGTGCCGATACCCAGAAATGATGCTGTCCTCATGGAAAACCTTCAAACAGAAAACAAACAACATTGTTTACAGCTTGGGTGGCTTAGAAAATTCGAGAAACTTATTTCATTCTTTCTGTTCTGCATATGAGACTGATAAACTCTAAACAGCATATAGTATATACTCTAATTAGTCCAAAAATCTGCCTGTCTCAGCAAAATTACTCAGAAACTAGATATAGAGATTTATCCTCTATAAATATGGCTTACACTCAACCCAAACATTTTCTTCTGGACACTTTGATTTTAATATAAGCAGAAAATAAAGCACCATGCTAGAATAAATAGGAATAACAAGGAAAACAGATGTTATAGATAATTTAGATTCAACAACAATTCCCTGTTCTGATTCAGGTTACTGAAAAGAGATGAAATCAGTTAAACTTGAGTAGATGTGTAGTGAACTTACTTTGGGCACCTGATTGATGCTGAAGACTCGTGGAAATTTGATGAGGCTGAGCATGACTGCAGGGGAGCTGTAGCTGGTGTGTTAGAGGACAGGCGAACTGAGGCCGCAGGCCGGGTGTGCCGCAGACTTTATGAAGGTGTGTGTTGCCATGCCGTCTGCAAGGTTCCTCCCCTTCAGCTCCTTCCTCTCCAAACCCGGCAGGAATATCCAGTCCACCCGCCCCTCCTCCTTCTCTTCCTCTTGTGGTGGAGGTGGAGGGCGTACCTGCAACAGGTGAACACTCACAAACAATGGTTTACCAAAGAAGGAAAAATAATAATTTTATTTGTCTTAACTTTGAAGTGAAATGTTGTCAACCAACTATCTCTGGCTCATGTTTTATCACTACATTTTATAATCCTTATGATAAGACAAACAAACTGGTCTTCTAATTGCCAAACCCTGTTCCTTACGTAACAGTGGAGCCAGAATTACAGGTTCACCCACTAATTTTCCTATTAATGACAAAAAGCTGTAAATCCAGAAAGTTCCTTCGCCTGTTTGCTTCTGAGAGAGCTGAATGTGAATACCAGCCAAGTTTAGGGTGTTTCAGATTAGACACGACTGGTGAATGAAGGGTGTGAATCAGTCTGTCAGTAAAGTAAACAGAGCTCCTGTGCTTTCCGGCCTGATGGTTCATTTGTCTGATCCTTGAGCAGTGGTCGTGCCTACAGGGATGGGCCAGACCGATCAGAGCTCCCAGAGTCCGTTATCTTGTTTAAACTCTAAAACCATGAAGACAAACATGATTCCAATAGTAGGAAGTAAAACCTGTCGTGGTTTGCAGGAGAACTTGGACAACAATGTAAATAAAAGAAACAGTTCTTACATAATATGTTGCTGTTGACATCAGCTTACTTCAGCAATGATTGTACTCTAGGCTTTAGTTTAAACCCAGGAGTTGGTTAATGCTTTATTTCAAACCATTAATAAAAAACTCAAAGTATTCAAAAGCTGTTAAAACTTCCTCTAAAGTTTAGGAGCAAACTAATCTTTGAGCTTTATTTATTTTCTTAGAAGCATTGTTTACAATGCTTCCTGCTGAAAATGAAGAGATGCTGACTGTCTTGTGCAGCAACCCTGGGCTTCATGCAGCTCCCTCCCACAGGAGACGAGCAGCACCAGAAGTCTGGACAACAACATGGCATTAAAAGAAAGAGAAACAGCCAGCAGTTGTGTGACTGAAAGTTCGTTTGAATCGACACAGACTCGCTTTAAACTATTATGATTGGTGTTAATGAGTAACTCTTAAAAATGTACACCTCAAACAAACTCAAGCACTAAGAGTAAAAACCTGCAAGAAGGAGAGCAGGGGAAGGACAGAGCGATTAATCGTCAACTAGAGGAAAAGCTTCTGTCTGATCATTTATTTAACTAAACATTTTATATCAGAATCATAGAACCGCCCTTACATCCATCTTCTTTCGCTTGTCCTGTCGGGGTCTTGTTGGAGCTGGTGCCTATCTCCAGCAGTCTATGGTGAAAGGCACCTTGGAAAGGTAACAGGTATATTGCAGGGAAATACAGAGGCACACAACCATGCACAAAGCCCCAAGGACAACACATAGACCCCAATTTACCTAACAGCCATGTTTTTGGACTGTGCGAGGAAGCTGGAGTACCCAGAGAGAACCCAGGCATGCATAAGGAGAACATGCAAACTCCATTCCTAGGCCAGGAATCAAACCTAGGATCATTAAACTGTGCAAAGAAGCACTCTTGTTATCTTTGGAAGACTTTCTAGAGATCTGAAGTCATTATTTGGACTCTGAATCCCTCTAAATCACTTTTTTATAGCTTCACTTCTGGTAATTAAAAATAATAGCAGAGTGTAAAAAATAGCTGTACATTTTATGAACAATTATATTTTAAAAAGTCAAGTAATTGCTCATTTGCTGTCAGTCAGATGCTTAAGGGAAAATGTTTATGTTGTACAAACAATAAGAGAACCTTTGATGTACAAATTAAATACCCCATATAAAACTCCATGGTTCCAAATGTTTAATGGCAGTAAAGAGCTTTCCATATGATCCTTGCTATGTTTGTAGCCCCCGGTTATAAAGGGGCCTAAGTAGAATCTGATTGGGGGCCCTCCTTCTGTTAAAAACAGCATCAAAGGGTTTCAATATGGATTTGGTTGAATCCGAAAAAAGGAACCAAGTTTAACAAGCTGTACATAATTAATATATAAGTTTTTATTATTTGCTTTAATCAAACCAAGTTAAATAACAAAAAAAGAGAATAAATTCTTAGCATCATATTCTGACTCTTTAAGCAAAACAATCCAAAAATGAAGATTATTGTTTCTCTCATAGAGAGATTTCATCTGAAGCTATTTAATAGCTTCAAATTCAATAATGCTAAGGTAAAATTTATTAGTACTATTGTCATTGTCTGTGTTAACAATCAAGCATATCTTTTAATTCGGGCTTCTAAGCAGTGTATTAACCTGCTTATGCATTGGGATCTTATTCCAGCCTCTTTCCTATTTGTGTAATAAAGGCCACAGGTGAGACAGTGCAGGCATGCACCTTGCAGCTTATGATTATCTCACAATGCAAAAGAATTTCTTAAACAATTCCTAAAGATCACCACCCAAATTTAATGTGTTTTAAGTTGGGCTAAAATATTTCAGAGTGATCTATTCAGCTTTCTTCCGTAATCTCATTTCAAATATAAATCAAACACATAATACAGCATCAGCAGCATAAGACTGCTGTTCAATTAGCTGACACTAGGAAATATGAGTCACAACCAGATGAAAATAGATCTCTGATAAAATTGACCTTTCTCGTTACATTTTGTTATTCTGTAACAGAGCACTGTGGTTTCTCCACTGCTGCTGGTGAAAGTAAACTCGCATTTAAGGTTATTGACCTGAACTTATCTACACAGATTGAACAATTATGTCCCGTTTGAATATTAACCCTCAAATATCAATTTTATTGTCTATTACTTTTATATAACTGGATTTTTGGAGATATACCTAGTCAAAGTACTGGGTGTGACATAATACCTACATCAAACATTGGTTTCACAAAAAGGACAGAAAATTGACCTCTCAGGTTGAATTACGGTACCATGTCTCAGTAGAACTGTTTAACTTTTAGTTTAACCTTATCAAATTGTCGAACTGCATCCTTGAGCCGATGCAAACAGGCTGTATTCAGGATTCAGAGGGTGGTCATTGTTAGAGATGATGCTATTAAATGATCTCATCCACTATTTATGAATTTTTTTTCCAATGATCGGTCTTCAGTATTTTCATGTAATGAAGCAATTCAGATTTTTCAGCAATAGGCCAGGCTTTTATACTGTTTGGTATTTAAGTAATGCAAAACACTCATCACTGAGGCATTAAGAATGTGAAGGAATTTCATTGCAATGTTTCGTAAAAATATTTATCATCACATTAGATAGAAAAAATATGCTGCAAGATGATACAAACTGATTTGTTATCAAGAGGCAATGTGGTGAAATGCTGTGAAGTTTGCATTTAAATTGATTTTTTTTTTTTTTGTTAGCCTGATTCAGAGAGCTTAGAGGAGGAAGAAACAGGAGTTTAACCCAGCACAGAAATAGTAGAACTTCTACGGTTTCCCTTTTCTACTTTTGGGCCTGTTGGATCTTTGCTGTGCATCTCACACCATTAGGTGCACAAAACATTTACACAATGTAGGATAACCTGTTTATTTCTCGGTCATTCCTGGAGTTGCTAAAAGCACGTCTTGTTTGTGGCTTTTATGGGTTTTTAAGGAGCAGACTTGATTTTCTTTTGCATTGCTTCCTGCAGCCAAACAACATCAGCAGAAACATGCCAGCTTTTTTTGTTTATCTTCTACCGTTTTCTTTATCTTCCAAACTCGCTTGGTCACAAACAACATTGCTTATGATGGCTTAATTATTAGTGCGTGATACTAATGAGTTTGTCACAGAAAAAAAATCCTTATTCCCCACATACACCGTCCTGTATATGGGGGAGATCAGTGTTGGATGATTGATTATTTGTCGTCAAACTCATCATATCGGAGCCACAGGGCAATGTGAAATCTTTTTTTTACCTAAAACCTTTTCTTCCTCAATTTTAAGCAAAAATGTGGGTGCTCAAATTCAAGCATTTTTAGATTCTATTTTTTCCACTCTTATTTAGGTTTAATAAAAGCCATTTTATTTCCATATTTTACCTTTGGAAATGGTCCCTGCTGAAATATAATTACAAATATTTAATGGATTAGCACCATAATGGCAGAGCTTAGAGCAAAGTATTCTCTAACAGGGTTTAAAAAAAACAACAGAAAACTATCATTGAAATGAAGCCAAGAGGAAAGCATTTTTGAAATTGTTAAAGTGTTAAAGTCAAAGTGATGAAGACTCATTCATAGCTAGTTGCATAGTTTCAGGAATTGGTATGTACTTCCTAAGTTAGGAAATCACTTTACTAGTTTAGTTTCAGTTTTATTTCTGTTGGCATGACTGAAAGCACTCCTACTGTTTATGCCACATCTATCCCTTTCATATAAAACATAAAGGGATAACAAAGAAGGTAAAAATCTGCCTTATGTTTTTAATTATGTAAGTAATTTTCTAAAAATTGTATATTTTATCTACAAAAGGGCTATCGCTCTAAATAAGATAATAATCCTATATCTATAAATAGTTTTTGTTTTTTCTTTATTCAGAGTTTATCTGGATAAAAGCCTAAATAATTTGACATAATCTGCAACACTCCCCCTCCCCCACTACTTTTTTAGTATCCTTTATGTATCTGAAACCAGTGTTGATTCCTCTCTAATAGAAATAAACAGAAAGTAGATTTTAAGCCTTTCATAGCTGATGTTGAACTTTAAATGTTAAAACTTAAAAATTTTAAATCAAAAGACCTATTGAGAACAGGAAAAAACAAACTTTCAGACCAAATTAATGTGTAAATCCGTTGTTTGATGTGTCAAAAAATGTTTTCAATATGCCAAAGCTGAGTTACAGTTTACCAACAACCAGATTAATTGAAGAAGCTAAAAATATTAAACTAATGTAATCTCGGTGTAGTATCCCATTTCACCACCAGATGTCAGTGTTTTCTAATGGATGCTTCCCATTGAGCAGCTGCTTGTAGATTTCTGCAAAACTAACTATCCAGTTTAATATCATTTCTGACTAAAATACTTTCATCTCTCCTAACTTGGGGGTTTATTTAAAATAATATTATATGTAGCTTATATTTATCTCTTATCTTCAAACTGGTGTTAGTTAAGTTTTGGAAATAAGTAAAAAGCCTTGAAAGACTAATAATAATAATTTAAAAAAATTTCCCCCCAAAAGGCTCCTTTTATTAAATGTTAATAAGACAATGTTTGCTTCAGGGAAACACTCACTCCATCTTCCAGTAGAAAACAAAATGAGTCTCATGAGGGGGGCTTCTAAATGTTTGTGTAACATCAGCACATCGAGGAAGCTTCTTGCATTAAGTATTTATCTAGTTGTTGCAGATGTTGTTTTCTGGGAAGGGGTTTTGTATTGCAGTTTTTGTTCTTGCAGCACAGTTGTCAGCATCAACCTCTTAAGGAGTTAAAACGCTACACAGTAAATGCATGTAAGTGTGCACTGATTTGCACTTATGGATTCATGCAAACATATTTATGTGCTGATTGAACTATGAAAATAAGAAATTTATTATTAACTGAACATAATACTTGATTTTTTAAAAAACATTTAATTAATAACTTTGTTTTTCATGACCAAGAGCACACACATTAGGAATGAAGAAAAACTAACAATAGTTTATTTTCACTATTTATGAAATATTCTTAATGATATTGCATTAATGAATATTACCAAATATGTTGAAAAAAATGGTTTTT